TAATGACCTCTTAATTTTAAAAAAAATATTCTTGATGCTGATTCGGTAGAGTGGATATAACCTTTTTGTAACGTCAATGTTTATTTATTAATTTTTGCTTTCTGAAGAAATTTGCTTCCAATGGAGAATTGAATACAGAACACAATTTTTTATGATCAGCATAGACCAGTAAAACGTTAACATTGTAACTAGCATATAATTATTAACAGCAATTATACAAATTTTAAAGAATATGCATGTAAATAAAATGTCACCTATTTCATTGCATTTATTTATATTTCATTAATATATTATTAACTATATCCAATTGTATAATTTATCTGATTGTAGTACAAACACCGTTAAACTGTCTAGAGAATAATCTTTTACTTCGTAGCACCGACGGTAAGAGCAGTAGTTAAATCCCATTCACTAAATGCAATTAAATGAATAATCACGCAACTTAATGAGGAAATTTTCTTGATTTTCAATAATTTCAATTTCTGGTTCAAAAATTTCAGAATCATTTTATTTCGATATTATTCATTTATTTAATGTCTGGCATTCGCCTGGTATTGATCAGAGACACCACAGAAACTACCAATCACAGTTAGCGGTTGTTGGAATTCTCCTTCAGACAGCGACTGAAATCGATTGTTGATATCGATTAGAATAGAAAAACAAACACCTCTGAGACTCGCAGTCAGCGGCAATGAGCTAAAATCGGGCATTACCCCACGGTTAAGGTAGCAGCGAATTCACCATACGTAAGAGTGTGTTTTTTTTTTTTTTCAGGAGAGACGGTGTTGTAAAAGCGCCTTATACAGGATAAATCCGCCCGCTGCAGCATACGAAATCTTTGCTTCAGCCTCAATTGGAGGACAAGCGAAGGGCTGCGTATCGGTGGTGTTGCATTACGATATATATGAGTAGCATTGCGGCGTGAGCCCTGTCTGCTCCCGTAAGCGTGTGAATATATTGAGCTTGTGCTTTGACTATTTAGGCGAGCGCATATAATGGCGCGAGCAGTTTTGTTCCGCATCGCAACTCGTCTGTCCTACACTCTGCTGTGTGGTTGCGGCACACGTCGTTTTCCGGTGGAGTCCTCATATGAAAGGACGATAGTTCCCAAATCGCTTGGTGTGAATTATGCTTTGTCATTGCCTACTGTTCAATTGTTTTCTAACGGCGTGCATAATACGAGTCAGTCGACAATGTCCTTTCACGTACTACTCTTGCGCCAGTCGTGCGGTTTGGCGCAAGGCGTACAATTGGCCCATTTACGTTTCTCCAAAATCAGTACGTCGAAACGTGCAATATTGGTAATGTTTTTCGGCCGTCCGGTAATTGTGGTACCCCTCGTGTGTGCGAAAAACGAAGCTTTGGCCGAAATAATACACTAAGCAATTGACACTGTGCTTAAATGCGCACACTGGAAATTCTCGTACTCGTACAATTGCATTTATTTGTGGTGAGTAATGATATATCAGACTCCAATTTTCAAGTTCATATCATTATTGGTGAAAATAAACTGCTTTTCACGTGATGAATAATGATCCATTAGATTCCTGTTTACAGGTTCATAACAACTGGAATTATAATTTTATAATAATTAACGCCATTTTAAATTGTATTTATACACTGAACTAAAAGTTTGAAACATTTTATACCTGTTGAAACATTTATAAATATACTATTTACTTTTTGAACTCGTAATACTATGAGAAAGTAATAAATTTTAACTAATGGCCACACACCAACGACCACACCTGTAGTTGCCACGAATTCGAAAGGCGAAACGAGCAGCACCGTTGCAAAATGGACGGTTAGCAGCCACCGTTGGCGAACACCTGCTCCCGCGAAAACCGCGACCATTTTCGCGGGCAATGGTTCTCAAGAAACGCGGCCAGTCAGCGAAGATGGAGGCTCCGCGATCTGTGAAAGGGATCGTTTAGAAAGCGGAGTTCCCGGAGAGAAGTCAAGCGAGGCGCGCGCAGCCGCTTAGGTCTCGTACGATTGAGGCCAAGAGTGCGTGGGATGAGAACCTTGCCCCGTGATTTGTGAAGATCGAGCGGGAAGACGGTCGCTTCCTAACAATTTCTTTTGGGTAGTGAAGCCCAGAAGTGAAACCACGATCAAACTTGCCGTCAGCAGACTAGAAATGAACATAATAATTACAAAATCGTAAACAATAATGAACAAAAAGATAATATAAATAATAACTGTATTATTATTTGTATTGTTTTAAATTATTAAACTTCTTTGTTAAAATACACTCCAATGATGGCACCTTACAAAGAATTTGTAATTAATTAAGAATCTCAAATAGAATGTGCAAATATTAATTGTATTATCTGTATTATCTTCTTGTTCATTTTGTAAAGACGTCGGAAGCCGGCTCTCTGAATAAATCTAAGTTGACGAAGATGACTGCAATTATTTCATTCTTTATTAATGGCAAATATATTTCATCAGCAATCCCACGATTTAATCATGAATGATTAAAAAATGTGTATATCGTAAAGAATGAGCACCTGTGACGTAGTTAGGAAGTGCGGTCCGTTCCAGCTGAAACTACTCTGAATGTTGTCTAGAACCAATTGCAAATTTTTATTGAATATTTTAACTCAATATTTTAGAACTTTGTTTCATTTAAAAATCATAAGTTTGATTGTTTCAATGATGTCTCTATCAATTTATTTCCTTTCAATGTTCTCCAATTACTTGAAAAGTGTGAACTGTTAAGGAGCTTGGTACATTTAATGTAAGATATGTATATTCGAATTTCTAAAATATTTAAGAGCCTTAATGTAGACGCAGATTCATGCTTATTATTTAATTTCTGTTGTACATCATTAAACTTGTTTGTTAAAATATACTATAATATTTGCACGATGCAAAGAATTCGTAATTATTTAAGGATCACAAAATGAATGTGCGAAGATACTCTGATTTTTATTAAAAATATTTGTAGACGCTAGTATAATACGATTTGATTCAATACAAATATATTCAATTGTAAGAGGCTGCAACCATCGGTATTGTCTCAGTAGAACTCCATTCTACAAAAACATAGAAATAATTCTTAACAATAACATCCAGTGAAATTCTCATGTAAATAAAGTTACAAAGTTAGTCTATTCACGAATTAGTTCTCTTCGGATTGTTCGAAAGTTTTTACCGGTCAATATAAAAACAATTGCAATAGAATCCCCTGACTTTCCGCACTTAGACTACTGCGACGTTGTGTATAAAATCTTGCCATTTTACTCAGTTTTAAGCTCCGTACTTGACTCACGATTACAGAGAGCTCAAAATGCGTGCATTCGTTTTATTTACGGTCTAAAATAATACGACCACCTGTCGAACGTTTTTGAATGTAATCAAATATTGCGGCTAAGCGACATGTCTATCTCTTCTATTCAAATTACTAAAAACAAAACATCATCTGAAAATACGAACACGCCGGTTCACGCTTCTTGTATCCGCTAGACTCGATAAATCATGATTATTACAAATACCAAAGCATAATTCTAATTACTATAACAAGTCATTTAGCGTAGGGATAACAAAAGCTTGAAACTCTTCTTAAAGAACATGAAACAGTCTTCCTGTCAATTCTTTAAGAATCAATTATAAGCTCTATTATTTTCCTAGGCGTATAGTTTTCGCTTCAAAACTTTTTGGCCGTACGTTTCACAAAACGCAAACTCACTCTCTACTGATTGTAATGACTCTACGGATATGATTTCAAATTATTGATGAAAGCTATTTTATCTATATATATATATATATATAT